CGCCCACTATGAATAGCTTTCATGTTGCAAGCTCTGCTTTGTATGCAAATCAACTTAATAGTTAGTTGGTGTCCAGTGGAGAGAGAAGTCAACAGTACTGTTGATTTTTCTCAATTTTTGCATGATATTTTCATACAGAACATGTCATTCATACACAAGAAAGACTTTATACTGATGAATAAGGTGACCAAGTTTGATAAAATTTGGAATAGAATTAGCAAGCGCCGGACAGAATTTTTCTCTTAATATACCTTTCCCGTCCATCTTTGATGTTACGAGCAAGGTAAAAATTATGTTAGCCATATCTCTGGTTAAATGCCTTCAATACTGCACTTTTTGCTTTGAATTAAGTGCAAAAGAACAAAAATCATTAACCAGGTAGCACCTGCATGCCGTTGTCTTGTCTTGTTACCAACTTTGAACATAATGGAGGTCCAGGAGTGCACAGAAAACTATGTCGGGTGGATAGAGCACAAACATAACTTATTTAAATCAAAAATTAATTGTGCCTGCACATTATCAAAAAACTTCAATGTACCAAATTTCAATAAGATCTGGTCATGGTTCTTAAGATATCCATAGAACAGACATACATACATACACACACACACACACACACACAGACAGACAGGATAACTGCAAATACTCCAAGTCCGGGCTTCACACACAGAAGTAAAAAACAGTCCCTTCAAATTTTTGCAAAACACAATAAAATTGCACAAGAACAAGAATTTTATTAATTCCTCCTGTAACATAATCTTACAAACAATACAAACTGATGAAAATAATGAAAACTTGCAGTCTGAGAAAGGTAACAGTTTTCAGTAAGTACACAGGAGGAGAGTATCGCTATTCAATGAGTTAGTATTAGACCTTGCCAGTCTACGACATCACCAACCAATCCATATAATACCTACAAGTGAACAAATTCTTGTGGCCACTACAGCAGATAATCTTTACAGCCTGTGTGGTGTGTACTCTGTAATTTTTTATTTGTGTTCTATCGATATCTGAAACCTTGAAGTCTATTTGCTCCATATTTATTTTGGAAATTCACACAGCCATCTTAAGTTTCATATCAAGTCAATGATAAATTTGACATGCACATAAAGAACAACACAAACTCATAATTCTTCAGCCCATGCAATCCCTTTTTTATGAGAAGATCTAGTTTATCACATAATCCAATGACTTGCAGTTCACATACTATTGTCACTGTAAACTATTTTCAAATCTGAGTAACGAAAATATATACTTTCACACAAAAGTGAAATGAAAGCAGTCCCTTTATCTACTCTAGCTTCTCCAGGACACTGTCCAGTTCATACATTCAAAGAATACATGGAATAGAGTTCCTCAAAATATTCAAGCACAGAATCCGAAGTACAATTTTTACCACATTATTTTACATAATACTTGCAGTATATTTTGTATATATACAAATAGATGCTCAGACATTGAGAATTCACAGCTTGGTTTTCATTTTTATCAGAACAATTGTGTTGCTATCATAGTTGTGAGTGCCAGTGAGATTAAGCTATAGCACACAACGATAACGTAAGGTGTTATTACTAAATAGCCCTCCTAATGTATCTTCGTTCATTAAAAGTTTCAATGGGAGGAAAAGTTCAACTGTTCCCTTCATTGTGAGGAAAAAGCACACCAAAGTTTTAAGGTTTCTTCTTGAGACAGGTTTCAAAGCCACAAAACTGCCATCTCTTTTCAAGGGTGGCTCCAACACCAAATAGTTCCTGCTTAAACACTGTTGGTAGTTTAATCATCAAGGACTCAATGTCTGCTGGTGAAACTTTGGAATCAAGTCGAGATATGTACGCCCAGAGGTACTCCACAGACGCACCGAAAGGATGTACATGTAGAAACGTGGCCAATAAACCTGAAACACATGTAGACAAATGTTACCATGAGAAAGAAAATGATGTGAAATTGATTTGTTATTGACTGTTGGACAGCAGTCAGGTTTGCATCTAGAGCGAGGCAGACTGACTTTGGTCGCTATTCACAGTATCAATCAAACATCAATAATTGTGAATCACAACCTAGTAGGGTTGATGAATGAAATTCACAGAACAAACGATAGTGGAGGAGGTAGCAATGTTTGGTTTATTTGATGGTTATTTTGGACTTGAACAGAAGAGAAACAAAAGTAGTACAAGAATGTGTGATTCAAGAAAAGCAAAAACGCACCCACTAACAGCGCTTCTTTCTCGGTTGCCTTCTTGAATTTTTCAGATTTCTCACTGAGTTGAGCTTCTTGACTGAATGTCGGCAAGGCAACCTTTTCTCCTTCCGTTTCCTCTGTTTGGGCTTCATCTTTGTTCTCAGTCCCTGCATCTTTCTCATCTTCATCACCTTCTCCAACACTGATTTTGTCATCTTTAGTTGGCGATTCTTTCTCGACAACAGCTTTCTTCAGCCACATCATTAATGCTCCAGGTTTCTACAGAGTAAGTGTAATTCATAATATATTTATTAATTGATAAAGATTTATTTCCCAAGACTGGTGTTATCAAGCATGAACTTTCAGTCTTAGATAATATTTTTAGGTTCACTTGTGTTGTGGGTTTATTATGTACCATATTTGATGATGATGTCAATACAAAATTTCAGACCATTCGGTTTTCTCAAATGGCTTGACGAAAAAACAGTGGAAATCGGAACAATAGCAAAATGGCTTTAAACCCTGAAGGCTTGGAATTCCTAAAAACTAAACTAAAACAAACACCTTAGATTCAAATTAACAACATTCAAAAGACACACAAAAACGTACCTCCACTTTTTTCTCAACTTCTGGCTCTGTTGCCTTTACTGCAATTGCTTCTGATCTAGCGGCCAGTAGTTGCTGAAAAACAATATAAAGTACAATATTACAAAACAAGCTCTGACAATTCAGGTTCTATTTCAATGAGCTAGATGAATGGTCGGCCAATTTGATGATAAAATAAACTTGCTAGGAAGCCACAAGTTCAATGCAGAAATAATTAAGCAAATAGCCTTGGTAACAACTTTAGTCAGTAAAGTAGTTAATAGGCAGGCCCACCTACCTGAAACCCCTATGGAAAACACTGCATTTGTTGCGCTAATTTCATGATCTCCAGTAATTGCCGACCATCACAAGTAAGATTTTCAGTTTCAGAAGGATAAAAACAATTTATCTCACCTGCTGTAAACCTTGGCAAGCATGCTGTAATGCTTTGATCTGAGTTTCCTTGCCATCCGAATGTTTGTTATATTCCCCTTTTAGGATAAGCACTTCATTCTTGTACGCCTCCAGCTGACATCTTAAACTATCATTCTCCTCTTTCAGCTGATCCAGCTCAGCAGTGTTGGGAACAAAAACTGAAACAAAGATCACATTAGGGACAAGAAACTAGCATCTACAGGATGTAGATATATAGGTACTACTGTAAAATCTGTATTAGAAGCCGTGGCTTCTATTAAGGTAGCGAGACTATTATTTGCAT